ATAGCAAGTCCTTGTCTTAAAAAATTAAAATTAATTAAAAGAGGAAGACTTTGTGCCTTAAAGGCTTTGAGGCAAGGAAAGAAAGAGTCAAGAGATAGAGATGCCACACAGACCTCAACCTCTTGCTGACAGGGTGTGGGCAGTGGTAGAATGTCAGTTTGCTCTTAGAAGTGGGGAGGAATAGAAGGTAGGCAGGGAGGGCTCTTTAGTGATCAGACGCAGATTTCTGATTCTCTGATGGTGGCAGATGCTGTCTTTCCCACACTGGGCTTCCTCCTCTGAAGACAACTGAGTTGCCCTCACCCTCCCTTTCAGACACAGTTCTGGAGCCTGTTTCCTACTGTGATCTTGCAGCAAATCTCAGCAGAAGCAGTGGCTTTCCCTCCTTATTCTGAGATCCAGCAAGGGAGCAGTGGGGTCTGGTTCCCCCAGCCTCAATGACCCAGCTACTGTGGAGTCCAGGCCCTTCTCCGAGCAAACAGAATTTCTCAGGGTGGGATCTCTATTAAGCACTGCGAGGGAAGGCTTGGGGCTGAGTAGGAGCCTGTGCCTACTGACTGGAAGCAAGCGAGGGAGAACTAGGGGCAGCGTGGGGAGGGCACTGTGCAGTCGCTTGGTTGACTAAGGAGCCTGTAGTCTTTGGCAAGTTCCTTTCCTCTCCCAGCCTGCTTCTTTTTCTGGAACACAAGGGACTGGACTAGATTCTGTGTGGTCTTAGGTGCTAGGGTAAAGGGGAGGAGGAGGAAAAAGAGGGGAAGAAAGGAGTGCCGCAGTGTGGCACTGATGGTGGTGATATGGGGGGTCACTTCTCTGAGCCTCAGGATCCTCATCTGCAAAATGGAAATGCTAAGAGCCTGACAAACCTTCTGAAAGATGGATGAGAAAGGGATATAATGACTCAGGATACCGCCTGCAAAGTAGCCTGTGAGCTGGAAGCCTGTACCTTCCTGACAGTGCAGGCAGGGCTTTCCTGAAGAGAGTAGGTTTTGGGATTAGGGGAGGGGCCGTGCCGCCAACCGTTGGTGGTTGTGGGAGACAGCGGCCTTCTAGAGTCCCGCAGGTGATCAGGGGTCGTTACCGCCCACCCTCCTGCAGCACTGAGAAGAGAGGGAGAGAACACCGGAGGCTGCACCTCCGTACTGTCCCGAGGCCGGATTCATACATCACACCATTGGAGAAGCTCACGTTTTCTCAGCTTTTCTCACACAGAATCACTTCCTTTGTTTAGAGGAGGGGGTAGGGGAGGAGACGGAGGGCGACGAGGGAGGGGCCCGCGGGTGCCGCCGCCACCGCCCCCGCCCCCTCCCCCTCCCGGTGTGCGGAGCCCGATTGTCACTCAGCTCCCGCTCCGGGGGCGACGAAGGCGCTGGCGCCAGAGTGCAGTCTCGGCTGGCTACCATCCCCTTGGACCTAACAGGCTAGCTCTGGGTTCTCCTGGCATCTTCTGAGGGAGCGACTGCCCAAGATTTAGAGATTTGGGGACACTTGACTAAACAGTTCAGGTGGCCAGAAGCTCTGACAGCTTCGGTGTGACCTTGGGTAAGTCTGTGTCTCAGTTCGTGCACCAAGAATGTGCAGGAGAGGGGTGGAGGAAACGACTGGAATTGCCCCCCCCCCCCCCCATGGGGCAGTAGATGGGCAAGGATTCTGAGCTGAAGCGGGACCAGGGACTGTTAAGAGTCAGGATCCAGTGGCGTCCCAGGTGGGTGGGCACCGGGCAGGAAGGCGTGCGCGCAGGCGGGGAATGAGAGCCTGTGGACCCGTCAGGTCCTGGGCTTAGTCCCTCAGATTCATGCCTGCCATCCAGTCCCAGGTACGAAACAGGGCACTACCTCTTTAAAAGCGTCCGGGGCTGAGCCTCTGCTGCACCATGTGATTGCTTGAAAGGCCGGGCTGGGAGCGCAGCGGCGGGAGCCTGGAGAACGATGAGCCGGTGCGCGCACGGTGCCCAGAGCCCAGCCCTGCCCTGCGCGGCTCCGGAAAGCCGCCCGGGGAACTTAGGGCAACGCCTTTGGGACCCCCTGCTGGTTGGCAGTCAGGATGGTGAGCGCCCTGCCTCCGGGTCGGCAGACACCTGTGGGCATTGCGGATGCATAGGGGATCCTTATGGAGTGAGTGTCCTGGGAGCCACCTCACACCTGATACAAAAGCCAGTGGTGGAGTGAGTGTTGCTATTTTAAGTTGCTGAATGGAACCTCTGAGGACAAGGGGAGGGGACAGAGGTTAAGCAGATAGTGAGGCTGAGTGCCTGGCCAGCCTGGGCAGGCACTGCATCTGCTAACTGGGGCACATCTTCGCAGGGCTGCCTATGTCCCCCTCCTTCCCAGGCTGGCATCCCCACTGCAGGCTTCCTGACCACAGGTGCTGGCCTCGTGCCCCAGGGCGCCTGTCTGCTGATGTGCCCAGCGCCTGCCCACCATGCCGCCCTACATCTCAGCCTTCCAGGCTGCCTACATTGGCATCGAGGTGCTCATTGCCTTGGTCTCTGTGCCTGGAAACGTGCTGGTGATTTGGGCTGTGAAGGTGAACCAGGCACTTCGCGATGCCACCTTCTATTTCATCGTATCGCTGGCGGTAGCTGATGTGGCCGTTGGCGCTCTGGTTATCCCACTTGCCATCCTGATCAACATCGGGCCACAGACCTACTTCCACACCTGCCTCATGGTGGCCTGCCCTGTCCTCATCCTCACCCAGAGCTCCATCCTGGCTCTGCTGGCTATTGCTGTGGACCGTTACCTCCGAGTCAAGATCCCTCTCCGGTGAGTTCACAGGAGCCCAAGGTACCCTGTGAAACCCTATGTTGGGTGGTCGGGGGTTGAAGGAGCTAGAGAAGACAGAAGTGCCTAAGCCCCCTCCCTAGTCAGCCAGGTGTTCTCTGGCTGTGGGATCCAGCCCACACTTTGCCTTCCAGGGCTCTGTGTAGGGATGCTTCTCTGAGCACTGTTAAGGGAAGCAGGAGGGGGCTGGGTGACTGGAGACTTTACCATGCTGACGGCACCTATGACCTCAGTGCTGTAGCCTCTGCAGCCAGGGATCCTGAGGCTGCAGGTGGGGCCTGGAGTGGGGTTAGAGCATTTGGAGGGGTCATTAAGACAGGGGACAATGCAAGGTTGGGAATGATCTGGATTCTACAAGTCCCAGGGAGGAAGAGAGCGGAGTGCTAGGGGAGGGTTGAGGGTAGTTAAGGGTGGCACACCAGGGCCAATGGTGCAGGCTGGCTTCCGGAAGACACTCTTTAGCTCCCTTGTTCTGCAGCCGTCTCTGTACCAGCCAGCTCCACCCTCCAGGCTGTCCTGCCGAGCCCAGAGGACTAGTTGCCTCTGCCCAGCTCCCACTCAGGGGATCTCTTTTGCAGGCAGGGGAAATGCTGCTGGCCTTTCTGGTTGTTGCCTGCAGGCCACACCAGAGGAGCTTTTGCTGTTTCTAGGCAGCTTAGGGCGGGTGGCAGTCCTCATCGTGGGGGTGGCGGGCTCCATTTACCTTGAGGTTCCCTGCCCAGGCCTACAAGGCCATAATCTTGGCACCAGGCAGTGCCTGGGTCACCAAGCGCCAGCAAGAACCTGGGCACACTGCCAGGAATGGCTCTGCTGGGACGCTCTTTTGAGTGTGCTTCCCCCTCTTTGAATTCTTGTCACCAGTAGGTCCTCTAACGGTGAGCTTTAGCCATCTCCAGCACCTGACATCCCGTGCAGCTTCCTAGCTCCCATATCTGGGACATGGGGCCGCTGGTCTCACTTGGCAGTTTGCCCGAGCAGGCCTAGGTACCCAGAGTTCTCTAGTTGGTCACATTTATGCACGTTTAACTTTTCCCAACCTCTTTTCACATCACGTGTTCCCTGTGTCCAGCGAGGGAGGTGGAGCGGGAACTGGAAGAGAGGAAGCAAGCTCAGAGGAGCTCCTGGAGCCAGGTGTGGAGAACTTGATTCAACCGAGTTCTCCCCTTGATTCCAGCGCCTAGAACCTTGGTGTCAGCCTCTCGCCCCCACCTCCAACCTCCCTCCCTCACAGTCACCAAGTTTCCCAGGGAAGGTGGGGCGCAGGCTGCTGCTTGTCAGGGAGGAAGGAAACACAGTCCAGAAGCCACACAGGCTCAGCTTCCGAGGGCCTTTCACGCAGCCATTAAACCAGGGTTGTTGCTGGCCCGCACCAGTCAAGCTAGTCTCAAGTCCATTAGATGGGCTGGGCCTCAGAGCCCGACCATTACGACAGCGTGGCCGCATTAGGAATGCACAGAGATGGGCAGACAGAGGGAGGCTGCTTGAGAAACTCTGCCTGCTGAGTGGGTGCCAATGCCTGTCCTCGGACGGCAGAGGTCACAGACTTCGGAATGTGTCCTCCTTACCCTGTGGGCCTGGGGAATGGAGGTGGCCATGCTGGTGGAATTGCAGGCACATTCCCCCCCCCCCAGAGGCAGATGCTGTTGCTTTGAAGCTGGGGCAGTTGGAGCACAGTCCTCTGAGAATTGAGGGTGGGCACAAGTGGGGTGTAATACAGGCTTGGTGATTTGACAAGAGAGCCACCTATTTAACCTCTTGAAGCTTTAATTTCTTCTTCTATAAAAGAGGACAGAAATAATAGTATGACTGCCTGGGGTTCCTGGAAGAATATATAGCAATTAGTATTATGCCTGATATATTGTGTGCAGGCTGTAAATGAGAAGTTTAACTTCATTATTAATATATGGCTTGAACTGGGGCTGGGCAGGCAAGCTCTGATTCCCCAATCCAAACATGTGTCCTCTTAAATGGACACATGCACACACATTCCAAGAAGGTGTCAGAGAACTGTTAAGTTATAGCTGCACATGATTTCCCTCCCCAAATGGACTGCCAGTGCCTCAAAGGCAATAGCCTGGACAGCGATCACATCTTGTCTGTCTCCATGAGTTACCCAGAGTGTCCAGCAACAATGTGTAGCCCTTGGCACTCCATAAATGTTGATTAAAACCACTGGATTTCCTGAGCACGTGGGTGAGTCCCAAGCAGGCTTTTCAGGGGTCTAGCCTCCATCTTTCTTGCTGTAGACTACTGTCCCCGTTCTGCTTTGGAGCTCTGCCCAGAGCTGTCCCCACTTGCTTGGCAGTGCACCTGGGAGTGTCCTGCCCTGTGGAAAAGAACCTTCTCTTAAGTTAAGGGCTAGCTTCTAAACGAGGCTCCGGGCCACGACATCGACTACTCTAGGTCCAGGCCTGTCACTGCCCAGGTACCCTGTAGGAGGTACAGAATGCTCTGTATCCTTCTGGTGACAGGAGTCAGTAAAATGCCAGACTTTAGAACCTGCAGGCACCTGGCTCCTTGCCTTGATATGCTAGGCAAAGGTTAATGTGGCCCTGGGCCCCCAAAATAATGCCTCTGAGTGTTGAAGAGGTGTATCTAGACATCTGAATATAGGAGTCAATCAGGCCTTCGTAGAGCAAGGATTAGGTTGGTCCGTAAACCACAGGTTTTATTTCTTTCCACATAGCTGCAAATTGAGGGAGAAAAGAGATTCACCTCGTATAATGTGACCCATCTGTGTTTCGAAGTTGAGATAGTTGATTGTCAATCATTTGTGGCCTATTACATGCTGCACGCCACCCACCCACGCTTGTAATTGAGAAGCCAGCCCCCTTACTCCTAGGTCCAGGGTCTCTTCAATATCCATCCTCCTACCCCCTCACCCAGGACTGTCTTGGTACTCTGCAATAATTTTGAGGCTGCTTCAGGGTGCTCCCTGTTTCTGTGAGAGGGTTGTCCTCAGCTCGATGGGTTGCAGTGAAGTGAACTGTGGTGGGGGTTTGGGGGTTAGACCTGAGTTTGAGCCTTGCTGTGTTACCAGGAAACTGTGCAGCCCTGGAAGTGATTCAGCCTTCCCAAACTTTTCTCTCTGCCGTAAGCATGCTTGGATCCAAGGTCACCGAGGTTCCTTTTAGCTCTATCTCTCTGTGGTTCTTCCTCCTCCTGGTTCCTGCCAATGCTGTCTTGGGATCCCGGGCAGGTTTTGTGTTGGGTTTTTCCACTCCTAGTGATTGATCATGTGGTAACTATGTTTTGTTTTGTGTGTATTTTATTCCATTGACCACGCGTAGCCTCTGAGTAGTGGAGGTTACTGCCAGCTTCATTCTTCAGATAAACTGGGATTAGGAACTTGAAAGATTCAATAATTCTCCTAGACAAATCACTGGTCAGGAGCAGAATCCAGGCCCACTATCAGACACTTTTTATCTGTGAGCCCAGTGCACATGCATGGACCTAAAGCGGTGGATTCGTCGGATGTAGGCCCTGGTTTCCCCAAAGCTGTCATCAGATCCTTTGCCCCTTCTTACTTTTGCCAGTGTTTGTGCATTCTGCTTGGCTCACACTCAGCGCCTTCCCCTCCCCTCCACTCTAGTGGGCAGTTGAGTCCCTGGGAAGCCCTACTGCACCACGGCTGGAGACTTGTCTGGAAGGTTAAATATGCTGGGTTGAGCTTGGGGGAAGAGAAACCTGCTAGATTGAGATGTGTTTGCTTTCAACTGCTGCCTTACCAGCCCCTGATATGGTCAGGGTTTTGTTTATGTATTTATTTGACAACTGAAATGACTCTTGCACTACCAACACCCCAGCTGCCATCTGTGACCTCTGTGTCCCAGGACAGGTGCTCTGGGTCTCCATCTGCTTTCAGGAGAAGCAGGGTGTCTTCAGATGCACAGCCTGAGGTGTTAGTCATAGGCTAGAGTGCACGAGGCACAAAAGCAGCCAGAGGATCTGTGGAGAGACAATCAAGGACCAGGGAAGCGGGGGCTTGTTCAGGGTCATAGGGCTGGGAACTCGATGCTCTTCCCAAATCAGACTCTTCTCAGCCTGGAAAAGAGAATGCAGCTTCAGTGGACAGGGTCAGTGGAAGAGTGGTAGACTGTGGGGTCTGGTGGAGGTGGCTTTGTGTTTGTGTTGGGGCAGCCTGTAGGTGCTTACAGGTTCAGCTAGAGGTAGCTGAACCAAGACACATGGCTTTCCCGGCAGAAGTGTCTGGGTGTATGGCACCCCTTGTCCCATATTGGGATGGCCTCCAAAAAGCCGTGTGTGTGTGTGTGTGTGTGTGTGTGTGTGTATGGGGGCAGCTTGCTCAGGTGTTAGCTCTGTTGAAGCAGGGGGATGACTAAGGTGGGCTTGTAGAGAAACCCACCCATCCTGGGTTCTGAGTGAAGCCTTAGGGGCTACACCCTGATGGTTGGTGTTTATTTGAGAGCCTCAAAGCACCATGCTGATTGCGAGGAATGTGGCGAAGAATAAAGACGCCAAAGCCACCAGTGCCTCTTCCACCTACAGAGGACGACTGTTAACATTTGGTGTTCCAGAAAATTTTTCCACACACATGTATATATTTAGCTACATTATTTTTGCATATGGCAAGTATCTATCTATATATGGTTTTAAACCCTATTTTCTCACTTAACATTACATTACAAACATTTCCACATATCAACTAAAATGATTTTGTGGGGGCTTTTTATGACAGTATAAGGTTGTAATATTATTCATTTTTTAGGTTTCAGCTAAAATAGCCTAACCTCAAGTAATCCACCTCTTGCTCCTGCCAGCCAGGTTTCCTTTGTCTGTTATATTCTCAGCCTGGATGTGAGCCTTCTTCCATTTTACTTCAGGCTCAGGGAGTTTTCTATTTAAAACCTTTCTCTGGGGGTCTGGGTAGCCCCAGAGTTCCCGGACACTCTGCTTGTGCACTCAGGTGCTGTCCATGTCTCACCTGGAATAGACATGCTGTAACTTCTTTGGGATAAATT